CGACGTTGGGGTGTAGAATTTTTCTATGTAAAACACAGTACAATACTACGTTTTATGTATTGAATTATTGTTATGTCAGTTCATTATTGGTGGGGGCAAAAACCAGAGTACAACGCAATTACTTAATGTAAAACGCATTATTATACTGCGTTTTACAAATGTATCTTAGTAAAACGCAGTATAATACTGCGAATTACAAAAAGAAATAATTTTTTAAGTAAAACACAGTACTATACTGCGAATTACTTTAACGGCAAAATTTCCGTTAAAATAATTCGCAGTATAATACTGCGTTTTACTCATTTATGTAACTTTTTTTTTTAAAGTAGTACAAAAATATTTTTTGTCCCAAAAATGATTAAAAAGGTTTTGGACTCCTTATTTATAGGGATGAAAATTGGGTAAATGGCCGAGTCCTACATGAAAATGGATATTGTCATTGGATCCTAACCAATCTCAAAAGATACACATAGCAAAGAATTCCAATTCAACTAGGAGAACAAGCTACTGGCGGATGGAGAATATGTTTCCAACTTGGACTCTATGTCATTATCTCTTAGAAAATTTGACTTGTAAATGCACCGTGGAATTCGGGTGATCAGACAAAGCTAAGTCGAGTAGATCTTAGTTTTGTGGAGAAAACTTGGCTCACGTGAATCTTCATGGAGATTCTCAAATTTTTTTACATGAACACTTCTAAGCCTAGTCTTCAAAAGTTGAAAAATCTTGAGCAGGGGGCATTTGTAAGCATTTAAATTTTATTGAATTTAAATTCATAAAATAATTTGGACCATATAAAATTCAAGACATTAGTCCAAACAAATATTGTGGCTAATAAATTGGGTTAATTATATATGTGTTGGGCTAATCCATTTAATTAGACTACAAATTAAATGATAAGCCCACTCCATTAGCCCAAGGTCCAAATGGCTATTAGCCCGTCTTAAAGCCCAGGCTCATGTCACGTGTCAAGTGATGTGGCAATCCAAGTCAAAAGAACGAGCCAATAAAATCAAGACACATGCCAAGCGACGTGGCAATCCAAGACAAATAAATGAGCCAATGAAATTGTGCCATGTGTCAAGTGATATGGCAATCCAAGACAAATAAATGAGCCAATTAAATCATGCCAAGTGTCTGGATGGTATTGGTCAGTTCAAACGGACCAATCAAATCGCAGAGCCACAACACTCCCTACAACTATAAATAGAGGTCTTCGTAAAGCTAGAAGACACCAGAAGTGATAACAAGAAGCAAACAGAGAGCTCGTGTATCAAACACTGCAGATTTCTCTACAAGCTACAAGTTCAAGCACTCAAGTTACAAGTTCAAGGTCAAGAACGAAGCCAAATCAAATACCAATGCGTTCAAGATCAAATTACTTGTTCGTGATCAAACACAAATTCAAGTTCAAGGAGGAGATTCAAGATCAAGCTTTACAAGCCCTTGAATCAAATCAAAGTCAAGCTCATTAAGATACTTTACATTCTTGAAGAATCAGAGGAATACCATAGAGATCTTAACACTTTCATTTATTGAAATCAAATACTATATTTGTTACGCAATTTTCTAGTCTTGATTATTTATTTTTCTCGACGCGAAAATTTATTGTTACAGCCTTTTCCATCACTCTTCTATCAACGCCCTTTAAAAAGAATGCCAAAGTTAACATTAAAAATAAAAAAACTATCCAAATATATCAACTGTAAAACCAAAGATTTATTCTATATTATATTCGTATATCTCACTTTTAATCTAAAACCAAAAATCAACAGAAAATTGCGAAATGATCCCTAATTGACCTAAGAGTCTTGAATTAGATCGAAATAAAGCTAGCGTTTGAATATAAATTTGATATTGAAAAATGAATTTTTGAAGAAGAGATGAAAAATAATTTTTGAAAGTTTAAATTGAATTTGGACATGCATTTTACTTGAAAAGAATTTGAAGTTTTGTGACTAGAAATCTTCAAAAATTTCAAAAATTATTCTAGAGCTATTTTTGGGATCTTAAGATTTTATTTTCAAAATCTGCTAAAAATAATTAAAATCTGTAAGCAAACAGATATTTGGAAAAAAGCTCCCAAATTGACCAAAGGGAAAAAAGGTCCAAAATTTGCGAACCAAACGATCCCTAATTGACCTAAGAAATCTTGAATTAGACTCGAAATAAAGAGTTGCTGTATATAATCGCTATCCAGCAACCAAATTGAAAGAAATAACGACATGTCACATGATTTCTCGTTGGCTTTTTGGCTCGAAAGGGAAAGTAGTTTAAAATACGGATGACTTTCCCATTTACGGAATCCACCGTCAGACTTTCGAAAGAAAATTTCCCTTTTCCGTGAACTTCTCAAAATTCCTGTGCGTGCGTTGTTCTTAAAAGGTGTCACTTCTACCATCTTTTAAGGATAGATCCAAAAACAAGATAAGAATTGCAGAAATTTATCGAGTAAGTGCACCTCTTAATTTATGAAAACGTTGATTTTCGTCACAATTCGGTCTAGCGAGCGTAGTAAATCTACTGTTTATCTGTTTTTGTCTCTTCATCCGAGATTGAGAAAGGGAATTTTGAAGATATGAAATTTTGCAAGAAATATGAGGAGTATATGGAGGGGCAATTAGGGCAGAATAATAAGAAACTGCCAAGAGTTGGTCTTAAGAAACTGAAGAAAATATTGAAGAGGTGTAGAAGGTGCCACCAATCACGTAGTGTTGCTGCAGATACCACCACTATACATGATTGCCCTCATCAATGCACAGGTTTGTTTATACAACGTTAATTAAACTGTTGAATTAAAATTGCTTTAGTTTGATCCATCTTTCCATAGTCAAATTATTTTGATATGATAAGCTTAAAGTTGGCTGGAGGAAAAAAATTAAATAAAGTCGCCCCCCTTTGAGTTTTTGACAATACATGTGTTAGAACCTTTAAAGCTTGTAAATTCATTAATTCTCTATTTGCTTACACACGTTAGTTGGTTGAGTTAAAATTTTCTTAAACATATGAAATCAACTCTCTGGTTGATTCATCCCTGATGAGCATAGTTGCTGCTTTAGTCAGATCTATCGTTGCATATTCAGATTATTTTGTATCGGATAGCTTAAAGTTGGCCCAAAAAAGAAAGAAAAAAAAGTAAATAGATTCACCGGCTTTTGAGTTTTTGACAAGATATGCACTAGGACAACTTTAAAACTTGCAAATGCATAACTCCTCTCATTGCTTATACACGTTAATCTGTTGAATTAAAATTTGCTTAAATATATGTAGATCTGTGGTTGGTTCATCTCCGGTTGGGCATATTTGCTGCTTTTGTTCTCATGTTCATATCCAAATTATTTTGTAGAGGATAACTTAAATTTGATAAAAGTGGAAAAAAGAAATTCGCCCCTTTTTGAGTTTTTGAAAATATATGCACCGGAACAACTTTTAAAACTTGTAAAATCAAAGAATTTTCTTGTTTCTTAGTACTATATTTTATCTCAATCATCTTATAAATTTCTAGCTTCTAATATTTCTATCTACTTATATTGCTTAAAAATACTTAGAATCTCTTGTTGATTACATCTCTAATGACCATATTTGCTGCTTTAATTTCACCCTGGAATTTAACTTTTATCTCATTTTTAGATTAATCTGGTGTAGATGGCTTGAATTTGGTAAAAGAAAAACGAAGAAATTCGCCCCTTTTTGAGTATTTGACAATATATGCACTAGAATAATTTTTATTCTTTTAAAGCTTGTAAAATCAAAAACTTTTCTTCTTGTTTCATAGATGTTTTATACCAATTATCATTGTAAGGCTAATAAATCTATCAAGTTATATTGCTTTAACACATGTAGAATATCTGGTTGCATCTCTGATGAGCATTATTTAGTGCTCTAATAACATTCTGGAATTTAATTTAGTGTTTATCGCATTACAAATTAACTTAGTACAGGATAGCTTGATTTTGGTAAAAAAGAAACAAAGAAATTCTTCCCTTTTGAGTTTTTGACAATTTATGCACTAGAACAACAATGTTCAAGCCTGTAAAATTTTAAACTTTTTCTTTGTTTCTTAATATATCTCATCTCAGTCTATAAGTTCTAACAAGTTTTCCTCCTCTGTAGTTTGTGATGGAAGTTTTTTTCCATCTCTCCTTAAGGAGATGTCTGAAGTAGTTGGCTGCTTTAATAAATGTGCACAGAGATTGCTTGAACGTCATCTCTCCTCGGGTTTTCGCAAGTGTCTTATCTTGCTCAAAGAAAGAATACAAGGAAACCATATTGCTTTAGTTCAAGAAGGAAGAGAACTGGTCACCTATGCGATAATCAATGCAATTGCCATGCGTAAAATACTTAAGAAATATGACAAGGTATTTTCCTTTTGGGCTATTAATTCAACACATTTACTGAGTCATTTTGTTTCCTTTATTAACTACTTATGCCTATCTGTAGGTTCACTATTCTAAGCAAGGTCAGGCATTCAAGTCACAAGCTCAAAGTATGCACATTGAGATCCTTCAATCCCCCTGGCTCTGCGAGCTTATGGCTTTTCACATCAATTTGAGAGAAAATAAGGCAAGAAATGAGAAGGCTCTTGCACTTTTTGACGGTTGCTTCCTGATATTCAATGAAGGGAAACCATCTCTCTCTTGTGAGCTCTTTGATTCTATCAAGCTTGATATTAATTTGACCTGTTCTATTTGCTTGGTAAGTGCTTGCTCTTTCTCCATATCTTTCCTTTTATGTTATCAGCCAAGTACTCCCCCCGCCCCCCCCTCCCNCTGTTCCGATATTTTTTTGGCTGCTATAGTGAAGTGTTATTATAGAGAACATGTATTATAACGTAATATAAAAATCAGTTCCGAGAAAAACTTGACTTTTATAGTGAATGACTGTTATATAGGGATGTTGTTGTAGAGAGGTCTTACTGTATCACATTCAAAATTTTGCTTGAAACACAGTTCTGGAGAAAGGCTAACTTGTGGGTGTGTGTGATTTAACACGTCTTTTTGCTGTACTACAGAGCAATTATCTGACTGTTATTTAACAATTAGAAACCTTTGCGTATGGAAAGCATCAGAATTAAATCTAGATAATGTGAACATCATTCTTAACATTTTTAATTGATGTCACTATAGTTGCAAAACTGTGATCTGGTGTTAGCTGGTTCTTACCGTCAGTGATGAATGCGTTTTACTCTGTAATCAATTTATCCCGTGCTTGGACTCAATGATAAGTGGTTAAGACTTGTATGTGCAACCAGCTAAGGCCTCAGAGCTGGTCAAGTATTCAATTTTGAAGTTGCAAGCTTGCCCATGATCTCTTTGTTCAGATAAAGAGATAGTTATTCGTTGGCTCTTGACTTCTTTTAGCTTGGATGGGGTGCTTTATTTTTTACGTGGCTGATTTAAGATACTATTCTGTGAAATATCTAGTACTTGGTAGTTGTTTGGTTGTCATGTTGGGTATTATACTTCCCTAGAATTTGGATACTATCCAAGTATTATGAAAGGTTGTAGTCTTTTTATCTCATGTCGAATACACTAGACAAATAATAGGATATCCCGCTGCTAATCCAATCTACTAGAGTCCAAAACTTTTGCTCAATTTTGAGCAGGTATGATAACCAACTTCACTAGTTCACATGACTAGGACATCTATTATCAATATTTCTTCCTGTGTAATTGACCATTGGTGAGAAAAGGAAAGAAGAAAACTGGAGGGCCAGTTTTGCATACATTTGAATGATATAGATTCATGTAACAACAGACAACGAAAAGCAAGTTTTTGAAAGCTTTATCGTAATTTTATTTTAGTTGCTCAACAATCGAATTATAAAGTCCTGTGTAAAGAATTACCAACCCTAAATTCCTGAAAATTTCAAGATATCAGAAAAACAACTACTGTATAATTTATTCTGCAAACGTCATAAAGCAAAACTAAACATATGACAAATGGATGATGTAAAGTGATCGAATTTAGGAAGACATTAGATGGAGTAAAGCTAACATCCCAAATCATATCCTAAAACGTAATAAGAAAATTAGCATTGTACCTATTCTACCATTTTATTACGAAACATCGTTAGTAATATACAAAACAACATAAACTGTTAGTCTAGATTAACAGAAACCATTTCAATCTTGGCTTCTTAAGTTAAGACATCTGGTATTTATTAACCATCGAAACCATTTCTCATTTTGCTTCTTTGTTTATCACAACGAACATATCCATCTAATTGTTCATCAGATACAGTCACCCTCTCAGCTGTAAGGCGGTGTGCAGTGGCGGAGGCAGGATTTCCACTAAGGAGGTTAAAAAAAAGAAAAAGTTAAAAAATTAAAAGAGATTGTGACAGCTGGGAATTCAACCAGCAACCTTACAGAGGTTTTGAACCCCCTTGACCACTGAACTATGCTCGGGTGAACCCCCTTCCGCTCCCCTAAATCCGCCTCTGGCGGTGTGCATGGAGTTTTGAGAATAGAAATCAGAGAAAAGAGCTCATTGTTGTTCCTTTGGCTTCAAATTCTGTTGATGTCCTCAATTTTTAGTGTTGTTAAGCTAAAAGGTCGTTATCTTGTAAGTTTCAACAGAGCACTTGCTCTCCAAGCAAAAATGTTGTTGCCTTCTATCCTAGCGTCCATGCAGAAACTTTCCATTAGATTTTATCATTTGTGATCCATATTGCAACATGCAGGATAAGTAAAAGCATTGATTAACTTTGAAAGTTTGTATCGTCTATGAAACAGTGCTTTAAATACGCCTTTTTATGCAGGATACCGTGTTTGACCCAGTATCTCTCACTTGTGGCCATATCTTCTGCTATATCTGTGCTTGCAAAGGTGCATCTGTGACCATAGTGGATGGACTGCAGGCGGCAAATCCTAAGGAAAAATGCCCTCTCTGCCGAGAGGTTCGTTAAATGTTTGTTCTTTATTCAAAAACATCACGCGAAGTCTTATATTGTGAATTATATAGTTTTAGAGCACCAATTTTATTAAACAGTGGATACCAAATTGCCAGTGTTTAACTGAATGGTACTGTCTTGTGAGAGAGGATAAACAAGTTATTTAAAATTAAAGTATTCCCCTGGACTTTGTTTCCTCTGGTTACAGTATAGTAGTTTGCCAATCCACCCCTTGAAACAAGGAAAAGGATTTCACGTGGATTTATGAACCCGTGGGGAACATGAAGAAGACGTATCTGCTTTGCAAATCTGATTAATAATACAAAGATTAATGTTATTAAGAAATTTGGGGACGTTGTTTTAGTGATCGACATAAGTTGCAAAGAAATTAACAGTCAATAATATTTGTTTAGTTATAGTTGATCTCTCGGTTTTCTAGCTTCTGCACTGGCTTATTTCTTCTCCAATTATGATTTGCTTATACTGGTATTATGTGTAAATGTTTTGTGCTTTATAACATAACATTCGTCTCATATTTGTTGTTACGCGAATCAGGAAGGAGTTTATGAAGGTGCTGTGCGTCTAGAAGAGCTTAGCATTCTATTGAGCAGAAGGTATCTTTCTTCTGTATTGCATAGTCGATTTAGGTTTATCAACTATCTGGTGCGTTCTTGTTGCTTCTGTTAGTTCTAAATACAATTCCACTTTTTCGAACAGTTGCCCTGAGTATTGGAAAGAGCGTCTTCAGACCGAGAGAGTAGAAAGGGTCCGGCTTGTTAAGGAGCATTGGGATAATCAGTGCCGTGCATTCATTGGTGTCTAAGTTAATAATATCTGTCTCATGGTAGCACTAGAATTGCTTACTGGCATTTGGTTCTGCATTTTCTTACATTTTCCTAAGTTCCTGTTGTGTATGCCTGAACAAGTGCTAGAATCTGTAAATAACTGCATATTTTTGTCAATGGTTTGAGTTTAAGCATTCATGCTCACTTGTACTGGGTCAAGTAACTTAGCAGTAATTTTGTAATCAAAAGCAGTAATTAAAACTTCAATTTGTAAGTTCTTGCTTTTTACTCATCACTTCTTTAACAAAACTGAGCGCTTGATAGTGAGGAAAAAGCAGGGGCTGAGAAGAATATATTTCACTTGAAAAACGAATATGGTACTATTGACATGCCCTTAGCATTAGAATATGTAACAGAGTTGCGCGGAGGCTAGTAAATTTTTGGGTTCTTTTAATATTTTGAGAAATTATATAGTAAAACTATGTATCTCTCTTCGTCTGCTCCGGCCTTCTCCAATAAGCGGTTTCGCTCTAAGTGACATACCAACTACATCTGAAAAGCACGAGACTAAAATTAGTGATAAGTACCTAGTATTTATGCACTAAAATAATTCTTTTATTCCTATAAAGAGTTACCAAAAATAGTATCGTCGGTTAACTTTTCCGCCACTTTCAAGAATAAAAGACATTTGAGAATTTTTGATTGGGAATATCTTTTTCGGATTCCTTTACGATAGTGTTGTCAGTAAAAGCTATTTCCACTTCTTTATAAACCAAGGTGTAATTCGGATTGGCACAATCTAGATAGCTATTGATAATGTAGTAACTCTTCTTTGGTTCAAAGAAGCCCTTTCACTTTTCTACATGCTTATTGAAAAGTATTGCTTGGATCCCTATTATAGATGCAACCAACAATTTAGTTCATAAATAAAGACAATATGAATTAGTAAAGTATAGTTAACAAATGTAGAATGACATTACCTCTTCATCAACTAATATGAGTTCTGGAAACACCTTTTTACCTTTGGGTTTTGTATGGTATTACTGTACCCTTTCGAATCACCAAGACTTTCATAATCCAATCGGATGAATATTTTGGTACCTTGCTAAAGGTACATCTTGTTTTGATAATTCTATTTCAGTCGCCATTTCGACTGAACCTGAGATGGTTATATGGACAATGAAAAATAATATAATATTAATGGGTTGTGTGGTTTCTATTATAATTTATTGTGTCATTTCAAATGCACAATAGCTTATAAACATCCGTAAAAGTAGGAACAACTCGTGCTGGCAATAGCTTTTATTAATATAGTGAACCCATTGAAATAATTGTAATAACTTAAAAGTGTAATTTTATTAATTATTTGAGCGAGTATTCCTAGGAATTCGAACCTGTTAGAAAAGAACTGAACTAATTAATATTGGAGCGAGCGACATAATCTATAGTTTAGAAAAAAATCAAGTGAAATCAAAATAGCATTAGCATAATAGGTTCCTAAATCTAACTTCCTGTTTGCAAAATAATAATTAAAAGACTATTCTAATAGCATGAGCATACAAGAGATGTCATATGCTAAACTTCTCTACAACAGTTATATCGGCACATATGGAAATGGATGGCACATATGGAAATGAATGGAACTAAGAAAGAATATAACCTACTATTTAGATATTTATTGTGATATATAGACTCATATGAAAATGGGTAGAAGGAATACAACATAATTTGATTTGGACACTTTCGGTGAATTGTGAACATGAGCAGATTTATAGAATAAAAGCGTAATTTAATTTTATAACAGTCTTCAGTTTAATTAAAAACAGTAATAATTTGTGTTGGCGTTATGTTACATGCTAATTGTAGGATGGGACCTAAGTCTACAAAAGGAAAGATTAGGGGATCAGTTAGTCATTAAGGACAAAAGAGTTAGTTAGTCAGCTAAAAGAAATACAAGTTGTTAGAAGTTAGTTAAGGGGGTTAGGGAAATTAGCTGAATATAATACCCTTTCATCTGTAATTGACAATCATTGATTTGATTCTATGAAATAATCTCTCTCTCTCGATCTTTTCTCAATTGTTATATTGTTCAGGAGTAGTTCATCAATTCTACTCCTTAAGTTTGCAGTTTGGGTGTTCTTCATTGAACACATTACATTGGTATCAGAACTCAGCCAATTCTCGGCCATTAATCATGCCGAAAACGACGAGGAGTGGTGAACTCAGAGAACAAGTGCATGAGCAAGGTGAAAGGAATGGAGATGCCTTGGAGAAAATTCACCAGTTACTGGCAACTCTGACTGCTAATAGCCAGTATCAGAATCCACCACCCATGCCGAAATTTGCAGCTCCGGCGGAGGCACGAACAGGTAACAATAAGAAATCTAAAATCGATTTTCCAAAATTTAATGGTGAAGAAGGATGGATTTATAGAAGCGAGCAGTTCTTTGATTACGAGGGAACTCCAAATGAAAAAAAAGGTTAGAATTGCCGCAATTAACATGGAGGGTAGGGCTTTATAGTGGCATGTGGCTTTGATGAAGTCACGAGTAGGTAGAGGATTACCCAATTGGAACGATTATATGAGAGCATTACATTTTCGATTTGGGCAGACTCTACATGAGGACCCTATGTTAGAGCTGATTGAGCTAAAACAAACGAGGATTGTTCAAGAGTTCCTGGTTCAATTTGATGCATTGTTGGATGAGGTAGAATTATCAGAAGGAATATTCTATCATCTGTTTTTTGAAAGGACTGAAACCAGAGATTGGTGTTCAAGTCAGAATGTTGGGACCAAGAACCTTGATGAAGGCCTATAGCTTGGCCAAATTAGTTGAACATTCTTTAGAGTTCTAGAAGACACAAAGCCAACCAGTGGTGAGGAGCTCTAGGCCCTTACTACCAACCCCAAACTCTTCTTGGAATACAAACTCGCGAGGGTTCACAAGGGGGTGGGGGAAGTAAATACAATAAGGGAAGTAAATACAGTAAACAGGGAAAATTCTCTGGTTCACAGGGAAAACCTTTGATGAAAGGATCAAGGAGACTTACAGGAGCTGAGATGGATGAAAAAAGCACCAAGGGGCTATTCTTTTGGTGTGATGAAAAATATGTACCGGGTCATAAATTCAAAGGGGAAAAAAGTTGTATATCTTAGAAGTTGAGGAGGAAGAAGAGGAGTGCGAAGTAACTAATGCCTTTGAAGAGGAAGAGAATAGTGAGGAATTGGCTTTAAGTCCTCAAATGTCTGTCCATTCCTTGGATGGTACATCTGATTATAGGACCATAAGAGTAAAAGGGGGAATAAAAGGAAGAAGTGTTCACATACTGATAGATTCTGGATCTACTCACAAGTTCATGGACCTAGAGACAACTAAAAGACTAGGGTGAAAATTGAAAAAAATTCCACCCTTCTCTGTGGCAGTTGCCAATGGGAGTAGATTACATAGTTCCTTCATGAGTGCAGGAGTAGCATGGAAAATAGAGGGGGTAGAATTTAGAGCCGACATGTTAGTTATTCCACTAGGAGGGGCAGATGTTGTCTTGGGCATACAATGGCTTATAACCTTAGGAGATATCAGGTGGAATTTCAGGCAGCTGAAAATGAAATTCCAAATTGGAAGAAAGAAGATATCACTGAGGGGTAGTCAACAAAGGAGCCTAAGATGCTGACTAACCAAAAGATGCAGAAGGTTCAAACTAAGTCTGCTCAATTGAGCATGATGTTTACTGCATTTGTGCAACTCAGCGGCCAGCAGAACACCATGTAAGCCATCAGTATACAGTCACAACAATTGGAACTTCCTGATGACTTGAAGCCACTACTGGACACCTACTCTTCTCTTTTTGAGATCAATACTGCCTTACCTCCTCACAAAGATCATGATCACATGATAGTCTTGAAGGAAGGAACATCCTCAATTAATGTCATACCTTATAACCACCCTGCTAGACAAAAGGATGAAATAGAGAGACTGATCGATGAAATGCTGAGCTCTGGGATCATTCTTCCAAGTGTAAGCCCCTACTCCTCACCTATTGTGATGGTTAAAAATAAAGATGGAGGCTAGAGACTCTGCATCGATTACAGGCAGTAGAATAATTGCACTATCAAGGACAAATTTCCAATACCAGTTATAAAGGAGTTACTGGATGAATTAGGAGGGTCCAAGTACTTCTCTAAATTGAATCTTAGATCTGGTTATCACCAGATTAAAATGGCTGAGGAAGACATAGGAAAAATAGCCTTTAGATCACACCATGACCACTATGAATTTGTGGTCATGCCCTTTGGTTTAACCAATACCCCTTTACATTTCAAAGTCTGATGAACAAGGTCTTCCAACCACATCTGAGCAAAATTTATATTAGTCTTCTTTGGTGATATCCTCATCTATAGCACCACTTGGTCTAACACTTACTACACTTGGAGCAGACTTCCTTTCCTACAGGAGATTGTTTTGTTTGTGAAGCTGAGTAAATGTACTTTTGGGAAGACTGCACTGGACTAACTAGGCCACATCATTACTTAGGAAGGCCTCACTGTTGATCCTAGCAAAACAAAAACTATGAGAGACTGACCAACACCTAAAACTACCAAAGAACTCAGGGACTTCTTGGGACTGACTTGATATTAAGGAGATTTGTTAAAGAGTATGGAGTCCTAGCTAGACCATTAACCAAATTATTGAGGAAAGATAAGCTTGACTGGTCACAAGGGGCTGCTGAAGCATTTGAAAGACTGAAGCTGGCACTTCTACTCTTGTGCTGGCCCTTCCAGACTTCACAAAGGAGTTTGTAATTGAGACAGATGCATGTGGCCATGGGATTGGAGTTGTACTAATGCAAGATGAACACCATATATCCTATATAAGCAACGCATTGAGTCCTAAACATTTAACATTCTCAGTATATCAGAATGAAATGTTGGCCATTGTGACAACTATTGATAAGTGGAGACCTTACATTATTGGATGACACTTTGTAATCAAATCAGATCATCAACCTCTCAAGTACCTGTTAAAACAAAGAATATCCACTCCTAGTCAGCAGAAGTGGGTGGCAAAGCTTATGGTCTATGATTATATTATACTGTATAAAAAGGGGATGAAAAATATAGCTGCAGATACCTTATCTAGGAGTCTAATAGCTGGGGCTCAATTGTTAACTCTATCCATTGTCACTTCTAATTTGCTGGATAGAGTTAAAGCTTCTTATGGCCATGATGCTCACCTAAAGTCAGTGATGACTCAGTTGGAAGAACAACC